CTAAGTTAATTACTACAATTAGCTAGATCTAAAGATTATTCATGGTATTTAGGGTGTGTTTGGAACTCGTTTCAAAATAATTTTATTTTTTGTATGAAAATGAAAATGAAAACGTTTTCAATCTCAGACATAAATTATTTTTGAAAATGCGTTTGGTAGTTTTATCAAGAGCTTGTTTTCAGTATAAAAAAAACTCATTAATGGCTCTCTCTCTTTCTCTCTGTTCGAGAGAGGAGAAAACGAAAACAAAAAATGAAAAACGACTAAAAGTCATTTTTCATTTCTCTCTCATTTTACACTAAACCAAAAAATCATTTTTATTTCCGTTTTTTATCTTTATTGCGTCAAATGCCATTTTAGAAATGTGTTTATTTTTTCTTTCTCGAAAAACGTAAAAAAAAAAACGGGATCAATTTCAAACACGGCCTTAATCTTCAGCTTTGCACTCCCTTTTTTTTAGATGAACAGACATAATTCTTCACCTTATCTATGTTCAAATGGTTACAAGCTAAATCAATTACTAATGTTCTATCTCTATCAAAGAAAAAAAAAACAAAAAAGTACTCATGTTCTTTACCCGGAATCAGATATGTACTATGGTCTCGTTTATTTCACCGATTCGAGTTTAGAATTCCAGTTTTACTACAGTAAAAAGCTCTCAAAAACAGTCACATTTAATTTTTTTACTATAGTAAAAAACTCTCACATAAAATCACATTTTAACTCGAATAAAAAACTCAAAGTAAAAACTAAAATCATGAAACTAAACGGGCCTATATATTCTCAAAATAGCCGTGAATTAACTACTTGAACGTGTTAAACAAGCTTGAATTGGCTTCATAAGCCACGATAAGGTTAACCTTTTTTTCCTTTTTGGTTAGACTGGAGGGATCAAATGGATAAGCCTAGACTCTGTCCAAAACCATTTCCAAGCTTCAAGCTAATTGACTCATGATCATCTTTTTATATATAGCTCGTTTAGTTCGTGCGTTTAAATTAATAATTTTAATTCTGAATTCATATTTTGTAAGAGAACTAAAGAAATTTTTTTTATTTAATTTTTTTTTGAGAAAATATTGTATCAAAATTAGAATTATAAGTTTTTATACACATGAACTAAAGGAGCGTATAGAATCTTCGTTTGATGGGAATATTCCACGTGGCATAACTCCTATTGTATTAATCACTTTCAGAGAGGTTAAAACCATGTGAGTGACAACCTTGTTCTTTTTTTTAATTTAAAAAAAAAAGAAAAAAAACAGAGAGAAAGAGTGATTATATAAGACCACCAAAAGAAAAGCCTTTTAACGCCCCAATCAGTGGTTGCACATAATTATATATACGATAATTGATAATTAGGAGACGTTTGATTCATAAATTAAAATTATATTATTAGAATTATTTTTAATTTATGTGTATTTTTTATAAGAGAAAATATTGTAATAAATCACGAATCATGATTCAAATTAAAAAATGAATCTAGATACCAAATATTCTCTTAGTGTTACAAGATCCATGTATATTAAACAATATTAATGAAGTGAAAGCAAATCCAATTCCAAATGAATTTTATCATGAGCCATCTCCCTCACCCTAAATCCGCCGCCCGCCAAACGACGCCTCCGCCCCCACCACCCAAATCCGCCGCCGTAGACCAAATGTCAATTTTCCTCAAAGAAATCGTCGAAATCCTAAATTCACCGCTTTGGACTGAACGACAATCTCCCTCACGAAAATCGTCGAAACCCCAACAGCCCCCTCACAGAAATGGTCGAAACCCTAACATCACGCCGTCCAAAAGACAACCGCCACCAACCATCACCAATACGTGTTCTACATAAGCGAATGACAGGTTTTTTCATACCATATTATTATTTTTACTTAAATGTTTTAAATTTGATTTTTTTTCCTCACTGTTGGTAAGAATGCATGCGGGATTATAGTCAAAATCCGAATGCACACTTATTATATGACACCGGATTTCGCACTAATTGCATTATTGGTCCGCTTGAATCACTGTATATGATATATGTTTCTCTCAAACTATATATATATATATATATATGCCTCAATTAAGTCCATTGTTTTCTTTCTCTGTGTGAGACTTATATACATTAGAATTCATTAATTCACCACGGAAAAGAATTAAAGATACTTGAGTCCTCAATTTTCTTTCTTTCTTTCTTTCTTTTTTTCTTAAACCCAACCCATTCTTACTAATTGGGCTAGCACCAGTTGACTTAACTGAAGTGTTATTTCAAAACGTTTCCTTTCTTTTTATGATACTGGTATACTTACATTTCTATACAATTCTTTCTCTCTCTCTTTCTTTTTTTTTTAATTTGTTTTTAAATAATTAGAGAGAGGAAATCCTACTCCAATTTATTAAAAAGTAAAGATTAAGAAAACATGAGAATAAGAAATGTAACGAGAAACAATCTTATCAAAAAAGCAAATGATCTCAATCGTATCGTAACACGATCCATTTTATGTTAAAAATCACTAAATATCTTCATTTCTTTCTGAGCAACTGTATAATTATCATCATCAAGTTTCTCTCCTCGAAGATATCAATGCAGAACCTCATTGTTATCAATTAAAGGCGATTTGGATCTAGTTTAGAACCTCACGCCCTGTTAGCTTGCTTTTTGTATATAGCAAGAGTAAAGGCTCATTTGTGATCATCATCATCATCATCATCATCATCAATTTCGTCTGAGCAAGAGCTAATACATAGAGGGTGACTTTATCTACTTAATGCAACACTGGCTTGATATTGTCCTTTGAAACTCCACAGGTTTAGGAATGGGGTCTTTATTATCGACCGAATTGTTCTCTTTTTTGAGACCAATTATATTTTTATTATATTGGATTTAAATTGTTCTTAAAAATTTGAAATTACAGCAGTTACCTATTGGTTATTCAACTTCCCTTTCGTTTCTGTAAGAAAACTCTTTTCCTTTTTGGTGCCCAACAAGGGTACCAACATCTCAGTAAGGAAAGTCTCTGCACGTGGCCACGTGATTCCTTCCATTGCACATGCCTCTCCAAAATCTAATACATTGCCAACTTAATTAATTCAAAACAAACCATCCTTTTTCTTTTCACTTTTTTATATCAATTAAGGTGTTCTTTCAATATAACTTCTGTATCAGTTTTTTATTGTTGAATATGATCAAAATTAATTTATACTACAGATGTGACGGCTAAAAACGTAGACTTTTTCATTACTATCGATTGATCTCTCTGATTAGCAAAACTATACCCATCATTGCTATGATAAGAAAATTACCGGGTCTTTATTAGACTCTATCCACCTAGTTTTTTCAGATTTTGGTTAAAATGGTTATAACTTCTCTTGAACAATCAAATTAATTCATATGTAAATCTGACCGTTGATCACGTGGTTTCTTTTGATGCGTCGGCATCACCAGCTCATTCACTGCCAAACCTACTTAGCAGTCAAAGCTCGGTCAACCATGCCAATGCATGCCAAAACGCCCCTCTGGATTCTGCCACTGCGCCACTCATTCACACAGTTTTCTCTCACTTCAACAACTTTATATAAATTAAGCTAGATCAAAACATTATTATTAAAAGCATTTATATATATTTATCTATTCACAAACCCAATACACTATTTCTTTAAAGATCACTGCTGTTGCTTTCTATGCCAGCAATGGAAACTGTTACCACCACCCTAAACCTGGTTAGATGACACCATTAATAATATTATTATACTGATTATTGTTATTATAATATTTTTCAGTTTTGTTCAATTTTCTTCCCCATTCATGTCCTTATCTCCCCCTTAAACGCGGCTTCTTTTTGTTGGACCCGCTTTGTTATTGTTCCCTTCTTTTTTCTTTTTTTTTTTCGAACTCACAAAACTCGTTGCACATAATTTGATATCTGGAGTTCTTCTCACCAATGCTAGGATATTATACCATTCATATCATGCTTTTCTGCCAATATTTCATCTTTTCAGAGTCTTGCATGTTAAAAAGACTGGCACTTTTGTCTCGTTATGTTAAGGAATATATACGTAATATATAATTATAAAGAAGCTAAAGCCTAAAACTTGATATTATGTGTTAATAGCCGTACGAACAAATGATCAAATTGTTGTTCAACTTAGAATCTAAGGATTTTAGTTAGTAGGCGTGCATCATTGTCCAGAATATACTTGCTTCACTTGATATATATATATATATAATAATATAATATATTTCTTATCGTTTTCCCTATTGGAAAAAAAAATATATATATATTATCGTTTGGGGCACTGCAATACTAGCTAGTTGGGTAAAAAGGAAAGATCAATATTTAATAGCTGTACATGAGAAATAAACATCAATATATAGGAATCCCCTGAAAATTAATATGGGGTTACCATCAACTATGAATTTTATAACATGTTTTTCACGGAAAGACAGTTTCTTAGAATCTTCGTAAAAAGCCAATATGTAACTCATAAAGCGTGCAAGTTGATCAGAAGATTGGCTCTTAGAAAGAGACTTTCCTTTGACCCCGTGGAGAGGATAGAATCATAGAAGATGGCTTCTTGGCAACTTCACAACCCCACATCCAAGGAAAACAGTAGTTAAAATATATATCAATTATACATATATAGATATCTAATTATACCGGCTCTTTTTCCCCTAGGAGACTCAAAATTTCAAACCCCTCATTGAATTTTCCCTGAAAGCCAATTTATTAATCAAGTAACGACAAAAAAACATCACATCATGTCATGCATGCATGAAAAATAAATGTTCAAATATGCTACTATATGAATAAAAACTAAATAATTAAAATGCTTAAACAACTAAAAGAAATGTTAAAAATTCACCGGATAAATAGGTAATTAAAGAGGAGAATAAGACAACATATCTAAACTCATATATATTTTTCATGACAATCTGTGTATAAATTTATGTATATATGATATATATATATATATATGTAAACACTCTGAAAAGGATCGTCTACCTATGAGATATAAATACCAACAGCTACTGAATGGTTGTGCCAACAGTACTGCTGCTACTACTACTAGAACCAACCATATAATAAATTAGGGTTTTACAGTTTTCTTCCACAAAACACAAGTTCTCTCTCGCCCTATCTTTTTCTCTTTTCCTTATGTTGTTCTGAACTAGCCCATGGCATGCTTAGACATGTACAACTCCGAGCACAAAACTAATCACCACCACCACAAGCACCACCACCACCCCCACTTCGCTGCTGTGAGCCCCAGAATCTCCTTCTCCAATGACTTCGTCGACGCCCAACAAGCTCTCCGGCAAGAGATGATCAGGAGCTCGCTGAGATCGGATCCTCCGGTCTCATCGGATTTCGAATTCTCCGTCACCTCCAACCACTCCGCCATGAGCGGCGCCGACGAGCTCTTCTTCAAGGGAAGGTTGTTGCCCTTCAAGGACAATACGACGTCGTCTTCCTCGTCGTCGCATAGGATCACCACCCTCAGAGAGGAGCTCCTCGCCGTTGACGACGATGACGTCACCTTCCGGCCTCCGAAAGGGACGACGAGGTGGAAGTCGCTTCTGGGGTTGAAGAGGGCCCACATTGGGTCCAACTCCAAGAAGGCTGAGAAGAGTGAGGCTCATGGTGGGCCGGGCGACGGAAGGAGGTCCGGTTTGGTATTGCATGATCAGGAGGCGTATTTTAGCAAGAACTCACAGGTTAGAGAAATTATTATAATTTTATTTTTTTTTATTCGGTTTGTAGAGCTTAAAGTTAATCTTGAAGTTGGTTTGGTTTTTAATTTTAATTTTAATTTAATTTTAATTTTTTTTATTTTTTGGTAGGAGTTGTTGAATGAAGGAGGTTCTAGTGCTTGCAGAGACGACGTGGAGATTGGAATATAGTGGTATTATTGATCAAGAGAGATGTATAATTATATTTTTGGGAGTTTAATTTTCTTTTCCTTTTTTTGAAGAGGAATTAAGGTGACGGTGGATTTCTTTATTTTGTGGGGTTTTTCGGTGAAATTTATTAGAGGTTGTCAAATGTGTTAGGGTCAGTCTTTATTTATTAGTCTTAATTATTAACTTACTGGTTATTTATTGATCTTTGTATTTTGGTACTCGGAGTCAGTCTAATCTCACTGTTCTGATTTTGTTTTAATATCTGAGAAGCAACTGGTTTTTTTTTGCTGTTCACTGTACAAAATGTTTGAAGTTGAAGTACCTTTTATTCAATGTTAATTAAGTTATTGTTTTTTCTGTTCTTATTTTTTTTCTTTGCTTTTAACTTGTTTTTGCTTATTCAGTCTTTAATTTTCTATTGTGTCAAACAAGATTACGTTTCGTGATTTGGATCTGGTTTTCGATAATTTTCTATGGATTGTGGATCTAAACGTTCATGTGCCCCATTGTGATGGCTAAAAAGCTCTCTTTAACGGCCATTTGACTTCAAAAAAGAAAGAAAGAGTGTGCAACAGAATCAACTTCTACAGCTTAAATAATTTGAAGACGTTTTTTACATTAATATAATGATAAATTGTTCTCCAATTGAGAGATTAATTACACCCAAAAGAGAGAAAAAAGAAAAAAAAAAAAAAGCTTCAAATTTGAAAGTATCAAATATGAGTATGGATGGTGCAAGAGGTAAGTGAGCCATAAATGTGACAGCTAAGCCATGGTTGTGTTGAAGGTATTAGAGAGGTAGAAAAATTGTCCGGATCTCAAGGTAGATCTGTGCTTGTGGGCATATGAAATGCAAGGGTAACTTGTTATGTTTGGTCAAAGAGTATCAAAAGATAAGGCATATCTGATGGTCAAAGGCTTTGGATGTTTTCTTTTCTTAAAGCATATGCCATGATGCCACCTACCCCGTTTACAACTTTCAAAGCTGCTATTTACTGACCATATAGTACATTTCCGTGCACAAGATAAAATTTTCTGTGGTTTTGTACTGATTTGTAGTACTTGTTGACTGCAAAAATGACTTGAAGCAAAAATTTAAAAAAACAAAAACAAAAACAAAAAAAAAAGATATGACTAGCCAAATCAAATCTTGCTCAAATCCTAAAGAGCTGCGGTTCGAGGGAAATAGCAAAGGATTAAAAATCCTTTTTATAATGAGGGAAATTCATCGAGTTTGGCAAGCACTTCTGTTTACTAAAAGATATGAGATATGAAAACAACAGTACATTATGCCAAGTATCAAGGCCAGGAAAAGTTACCACTCCCCAAGTCGATTCCAAAATTAAGTAACATTGTTTGCAAAAAGCAAAAGTAGTCTTCTTGTTTTATACAGATACATCTACATATACATATACATATACATATACATACATATAATATATATATGTGTATATACGAAGTGAGAAAATAATACATTAGAGCAGGCATTACCAGCAAGGAAGTATGCGCATATTTGGTAAATGGAAAAGAACAATATCACCAGAGATCAGCAATAACCTCTTGCTGGAACTTGTGCTCATAGCTTTCGGCTTGGGAGCCGAGACACTGAACAGTAGCATCAAATTTATCAAATGCATCTTTCAATTCCGCAAGCTTTGTCTCGATATCTTTCATTCCGGTTTCAGCTCGAGCTCGTTCTGCTCTAGATTCAACGTATCTCCTTGTGTCTATGGAGACTTCAGATTTGTATGCAAGGCCAGCTAGCTGAGACAGCCGAGCACGTAAAAACCCGACATTCATGCCCAAAAGCTCAAAGGCTTTTAGAGACTTATCCCAAGCTGAAAAATCATCACGAGAGGTGGTAAGAGTGCAAACTTTTATCGCATTGGCGATATGTACAGTCTCAGTGATAGTCCCAACAATCAACTTCTTGTTCATCCCCTTGATAACATCGTCATGAAGGAAAGCATTCTGACTGCAACAGAGCTTATAGTATGTTTTCCTTATATCCTCAGGGACCTCAGAATCTAAGAGCAATCCATCTACTTGAATGCTAAAATTCTCAAAAGTTTTGACGTCCTGGAATTGGATTGCCGCTCCTGATGACTTAGAACCTTCCAAAACTTCTGAAGCACCCTCCTCGCTATTGTTTTCAGATTGTTCGGCTGGCTTAGGAACTGATCTTGGCAAACCAGGCTTCCTTTTCTTCTTCTGAACAACTGATAAAGGAAGAGACTTTGGACGTTTCTTCCTACTATTAGAACTTGCAACCGCCTCCGTTTGGGCGTTATCTTTATCTGGTATCAACATCCAAGTATCATAGAAGGAACATCAATGAACCTTCTATAGTTCTATGAACACATAATGTACTAGAAAGTGCCAAATAGAGGAGCCAAAAAATTACCAGAATCATTATGTTTCGTGTAAGAATCCAAATTTAAGAGGCCAAGAGCTCCATCCACTTCAGTTAAGTCATTTGCTCTTATAATATAAACCTTCAACACAGAGAAGAGATGTCATTAGACTGTTTCTGGCCCTAGAATGGCCCTCGAGTTCAACACAAAAAGAACAGACAAACTTGTAATCTTCTCTCCCTCTTTCAAAATGCATTGTTCATTCGCTTTCTTGTTATCAGAATCCTTTCATACAAGCAAATCAGCTTTCACAACATAACATAATGGAATAAACTTGGAGTTAATCAGAATGGTTCCTAGTTATGGACAGAGGAAAAACCGACATTTTATTAAAGCTAGATGTAGATTAATATACATAGTTTCTATTGAAGCTGCAAATCCTGAAGATAAACCCAATATGCATGACTTCCTTTTTCACCAATTTAGAATGTAAGATAGTGATGAAGTAATTTACTTATATACAACAGACTTGCTGCTTTCTCTCTATATTGTCTAATTCTCCATTAGAAATGATAAGAAAAAGAGTCAACATAAACGCGAAAGACAACTGACCTTAAATTTGGTAGGTTCAACTAATTGGAAGACCAAAACATCTCCCTCAAGTAATTTGTGTGCAACAGCGAACTGTCTCCAACCAGCACTCAACCCTGTCTTATATGCAATGTATTTTATCCCATATTGTTTTCCATTCTCATCTTCCAAAGTGACCGTGGTATCTTTATCCGGTAAATGTGACTTGCAGAACAGCCCAGGAAGCCCCTGTCATATCACCAACAATGTTGTAACATGTGTTTGCTTCTCACATCACAAACTCAGCTTCATATTAGACTTATCCAACTCTAATAGCACTTACCATCCAGAAGCAGCTAGCTACATGTGATCTGACCAGAGACTTAACAAAACTAGGAAATTCAGGTTCTAGATTTGATCGAACCTCCTGTGCTCGAATCACCGCAGATGACTTGGCTTGACCAGATGAACACGAGCCATCAGTTGCAACCATACTTGGTTTACAACTTTAAGAATTCACAAAGACATAACCATCATGAGTAACTATGCAATACAAACAAGTAAAATTAAAACATGAAAAATACGACGCGAATAACATCAGAGATATTCCACCGACCTCATCGGACTTCCTGAACGGCCAGATACAACCTGCACAAGCATTTATCAGCAATTTTTCATTCATTAAGGACGATAAAGAAGACGCAATTTCATATCCGAATCCTTCACAAAAACTCAAAATATTTTAAGACAAAACAAAATTACTCAAACCTAAAACAAAAATAGAACTGAAGTTGAATATATCAATGTAAATTATGAATTAAAACGCGAATTAACTCAATGCATTACGTGATCACTCTTCATCTGCTTCTTCTAGCTAGGAAAAATTTAATAGCTAAACCATACAAAACAATCACAATTGATTATAACATTGTTTAAAATACGTCCTGGATTGCAAATCAACAACTAGCCATAGCAAGGTTTTCAACAATGAAACGTCGGAAAGATAATCTTACAAACTTAATTTGGACATCGGAATTCCGTTTCTTGACACTAGTAGTGGAAATACTTTTCTCTCTCTCCTTCGAATTCTTCGTTTTCGCCTGAAGATTAATGAGAGAAAAAATACAAAATTTCAGCTCCAAATTGACAGGAACGAACAAAAACCGCTTAGAAAATACGCAAACCTCAACTTGAGAAAGTAAATACAAGGCCAATACATATCTATATACATACATACATATATAGAGACAGAGAGAGAGAAGAAGACCGGTGAGGAAGTAGAAGAAGAAGGCTTGATCGGCCGAGCCTTCTTCGGCGGCGACTTGGACAACTGCGCGAGAGTAATGACGTCGTCGTCCTCTGCGGTTTTGGCGATCTCCATTGGAAACAACACCGTTTCGTTTCGTTTCGTTTCTCTGCAACAACCGGCGAAATGGAAACGCCGATTGAAGAAGAGAGAGAAAATGGAAAGGAAGACTTTTTAAGGCCCTAATTACAATTACAGAGTGAAGGGGAAAAGAGATTAATGAGATGGATTAAGATTAATCTTTTCATTTTTCAAAAATCGCTTAGGGCGTTTGTTAGATGTCTTCATAAGTATAATTCTGAATTTTGATTTAGAATTAGTGTTTATTTACAATAATTTAAATTATAATTTAAAATTAATATTTAATTTATAAAGATGATTTTAAATTATAATTTTAAAATTATAATTTAAATTTAAAATTATAAATTATAATTATAATTTAAATTATTTTAATTTAAATTCTCGTACGAATGTTTTTTTCTTCTTTTTTTTGCTTCTCTTTTGTGTTTTTTGCTGGGGTTTGTTGAGGACGGGGGGACCAAATTGACCGTTTAACAGTAAATTGAAAAGGAATTTGACCTCTTTTTTATAATTAGCAACTAATGCGTTGGTTTTATCCGTTTAATTATGTAAGAAATCCTCTTAATAACACCAACCTGCGAGATCGTACTCGGTTCACGCGTGGCAACTGGGATTTTGGACAACACGTTATTTGCCTGTTCTTTTTCTTTTTTTTTCTTCTGAAAAGGAAAAATATATTTCAAATTAACGAAGATGATTTCCCACTTTCCGATTTTATTATGGTCTCACACGTCTGAATTAATTATTAATAGTGTGTGTTTATTTATATCTAAATTTGTTTTTAAGTCGTGTCATTTGTGTCTCTAGTATTAGAGGTTTTGTCTTGGTAGTTTTGTCTCGGTCGATTGGTTTTATCCATTAAATATAGGCCTCGTTCATTTCATCGATTTGAGTTTTCAGTTTTAAGTTTCTACAGTAAAAAGCTCTCAAAAAATGTCACATCTAACTTTTTTGCTACAGTGAAAAGTTCTCAGAAAATATCACATCTCAACTCGAATTAAAAACTCGAATTCACAAAGTGAATGAGGTCATAATAATTCTTGTTAATGAATTTTGATTGCACTCAATTTTATTTGTATCGAGCGGGTATTTTCATATTAAGTCTCGACGCTTATTTTCACCTTGCGCTTCATCCATCTTCACAAGTAGATTTAGCCTATCCAAGGTCGAATTCTCTTATAGGTTTGTGACTATTTATGTAATTTATTAATTATTAATGAAATTTTCCGTTTAAAAAAATATTGACCCATATGGTCTCAAACTACAAGAAGACAAGACCTTGATAAATAATTAATTTAACCTACAAATTCGAATGAAATGCTAAAAAAATAAATGTATATTAAATTATAAAAGAATAAATCTAAATAAGTACACACATGATTTTTTAATAAAACAAGTATAATCGATGAAAACATTTAATGGATCAAAATTAAAAGCCCATAACACTAACGCCACATAAAACGCCACTAATTAACAAATTAAACGGGCTGAAAACATGACCTGACAATAGAAAACAAGACAAGAACACCACCAAATCGAAGTAAAAACAATGTTATTACAAACCACAACATAGATAAAAAAAGAAAGAAAAATTCCAAGCACTGCTAATATATAATCTCTGACACAAAACGACCAACAAAAGAATTCAATAAAAAAAAAAGTAAAACTCAAGAGACGCGTGTGGTCTAAGCACCACCTAAGTAAAGGCACAAAAACCCTACCTGCCACCACTGCCATCACCGAAAGACTGCAGCATCGGCCGCCGCTGCCATAAGAATCACTCCGCTACAGTACAGTTGGAATTTCTGAAGGATTTCAGTCGCCAAAAGTTAAGCATGCCAATAACAACGTTCCAAACCAACATTCACCATATTAGCGCAAAAAAAAAAAAAAAAAAAAAAAAAAAAAAAAAAAAAAAAAAAACAACAACATTCACCAATTTACCATCCCACCGTCCAACAAGCTCGGAGAACAAATTTCAAATTCAGGAACCCATCGACACTCTCGAGAGTCGAGGGTGGTCTCCTGACTCCGGCCATCTCATTTGCTTTCATGGTGAACAATAAAGACCTCGTTCAGTTCACAGATTTAAGTTTTTAATTTGAATTGAGATATAATTTTATATGAGAGCTTTTCACTGTAATAAAAAAAATAATATATGTAACTTTTTATAAGAACTCTTAACTGTAATAAAATTAGAATTAAAAATTTAAATCGATAAAATAAACAATGACAAAATAAACATACAGTACTCACAAAAAGAATAAAATCAAAATACAGTGAAATAAATAACACGAGATTTGAGATTATTTCACCTCTAATGGGAGGCTATACGCCTACTAGGGCGTTTGTTTGTTTTTTTGTTTTTTTTTTGTAGTGTAGAATATATCAATCTTTTAGAATGATTACAAAGAGAGTAAATAATAAGAAGTGGGGTCAGGGAGAGTTTTGAGATTTAATCCCTTGTTATAGCCCTAAGATAAAAGAGCTTCGTTCGTTTCACCGATTCGAATTTATAATTTTAAGTTTTTACAATAAAAAGTTCTCAGAAAATGTCACATTTAACTGTTTTTATTACAGTAAAAAGCTCTCTGAAAATGTCACATCTCAATTCGAATTGAAAACTCAAATCTATGAAGTGAACGATGCATAAATTAAATGTGTGAGACATCCTTGTTTCCTTTTTAAAGATTCTCAATTGCCATTATCGGTTCAATAGTTACCTTGTTGTTCATCTTCATATCACCAAGCTAACCAACCTTTTCTAAGTTGTGGGAGTTGAGCTTATGGATTGGCAACCGTCGAGAAACACTCCTAGTGTTAGGAGACTGGATCATCGTCTCTGCAATAATACAACATCAGTTACGAGTAAGCATATATTTTGCTTTAACATATTATATAGTATATTTTGAGTCCGTCAACCACTCGATTCATCCACAATTAATCACATATTAATATAATAATAGTTTTTTTATAAACAGATCTCATGATTCTTATCAAAGAATGCATTATATTGTGATCTGGTTTAATGTATTCATAATATTATTATAATAATAGTTGAGGCCAACATCGAGGTAATTATGTAGATTCTATCATGTATTAAGTTTTAATTATTGTTTTATTACTTATGTTTCTTTTAGTAATAGTAGAGATCTTAATTAGTTGTTAGTTAAGAATAATATTTAAAATAATAAGAATTGTACGGCGAAAAAATTTAGTAGGGACTCTTTTGAAAAACTATATTTCAATGGGAATATGAGGGTGAAAAAACATTTTAACAAAAGTGCATAAAAAAAAGACTACACTACAGAGAAACTTTAAAAAATGCAAATGAAGATATGAACAAGAATGTATATTGGGAAAAAATGATAAAATTAAATGAGAGAAAAAATAAAAATAAGGGACTAAAGAAGCAAATAAAAAAGGAAAGGAGGATCGAAAAAGACAAAGGGAAGAAAAGCAAAAGAAAAAAAAAAGTGTAAAGTTACAAAAAAAAATGATAAAAAAATCAAAGAGTGAGAGAGAACAAAAATGAGAGCCCATATAAGCAAATAAAAAAGAAGGAGGACCCAAAAAAAAAAGGAACAAAAGCAAAAAAACAACAAAAAAAAAGCAAAAATGAGAGACGAAAATGATAATAAGATTAAATAATTGTGAAAGAAAAAACAAAAATAAGGAATTAAAGAGGCAAATAAAAAAGGAAGGGGGCCTAAAAACAAATAAAAGTAAGAAAAAGAAGAAAAGTAAAAAAAAATAAATGACTAAAATGATAAGATTAAGGGTGAGAGACAAAACAAAAATAAATGACTAAAAAAGCAAGTAAACAAGGAAGAGGAACAAAAAAAACAAATGAAAGAAAGAGAAGCAAAAAAAAAAAGAGTTGAAAAAAGGAGTATAAAAGGGACTAAACTAATAATAAAATAAAATATAGGGATTAAAATGAGAATAAGGGAGGGGGGACGATTTTATATATTAAAAGATGTTTGGCTCTATTGAGCAATTGGTGAACATCTGGTGCATTTGGTTGAAGGATTCGTGTCATGGTTCAAATCATGGTTCGTGACTCGCTACAGTATTTTCTCTCACAAAAAACACATGTAAATTGAGAATGATTCTGAATCCATTAACCAAACGTCCTCTAAATTTTATGCTTTTAAGATCCTGACATTTTTTATATTGTTCTCAATATATACACAATCAAGGATTACTCTATAAGCACTTGAATATGATGTATCATTGCACAATTTGTCACGCCCCCCAAACGGGGTGGGTGACGTGGAGCTCGATTAGGGATTAATAAAGCAGATTCCCAGACCGGGCCCCACACTTAACTGCATTAAAATATAAATGAATTACATAATTCAGGAGCCTCTGACACACAGGGCTCCACCCCACAGGACATACAGTATCATACATACATGCTCATGTAATTAATCATTACAACAGACATCAACCACAGTCTAGTAAATCCAAATATTATATAAGTTTACATAATTTCTCAAATTCCTTACATTTGTTCAAGAGGATAAACTCAATCCTCACTTGATCCAACCGTAGCAACTCCAGCTACCCTGCACCGCTCCTCGAGTCTCCTGGGAGGGGTTTAACATTTAAAACATAAAACGTGAGCGAAAGGCCCAGTAGGATATAATATTTG